GCAGGGCTGCAGCAGCCCTCTGTGCAAACGGGAGGTCCTCTCAGCTGGCCATGGGAAGTGGCAGCATGGATCACGAAGCTTGGGTAGCAGAAGTCCACAGTTTAGCCAGAGGTGACACCGTGGAGCCCGGCCTAACTGTGGACTTCTGCTACCCAAGCTTAGTTAGGCCGGGCTCCACGGTGTCACCTCTGGCTAAGCATGCGCTCTAGGTGCTTCTGTCATTACTTTCTGCATTCTCTCGCTTGCTTTTTCTGTCAGCTGCATCTGATGGGAACTCTTTCTTGGTATTTATATAGTACCAGGTGGTATTCAACCCCAGTTGAAAACCGTCAAAACATAGAGCACAAAAAGAACACTCTGCATATAGAGCCGTAACTTTTAAATGAAAGTGCTGGATGGTGATGATGATGATTGCTGTGCCCATTCTAGTCCAGACACCATTTATGCTCTTTGCTGAGAGATTTGCCTGATAGCTGCATGCACCCACCAGCTCCTACCAGGGAACCAGCCCAGTGAAGTGGAGGTGTTTTCCTTGCCTCGTTTTGTCTTTTCTCATTCTCACAATTATCCGGCAAGCACACCAGTGTAATGCTTAACTTCAGACAGGCCCGCCTGTCTCAACTGTGTCACTTGAGTTTCCTGTTGTATAAAACAGTCAGAACTAAGTGACATCACACATAGCTGGTAAGCAAAATGACAACAGGCAGAGCATCACCCATGAGAGGACACACATACATGGGAAGCCACCTTTACACACATGTACATGGGAGGGAAGACACACATGCACACCCAGAGGCCACACACACACACACACACACACACACACACACACACACTTGTGTATACACTGATACATACATGTACACATATGGCTACCTTGTTTGTTTTTATTTTGTTTTGGGGGACAGGCACCCTTGAATTAAGGGTGGTCCTCCCACAGGTGCTATCATACAATAAGTTACAACCTAAGTCCAGGCATGGCGGTCCAGGCTTTTAATCCCAGCACTGAGTTCCAGGCCACCCAGGGCTACAAGGTAAGACCTTGTCTTCAAAACCAAATAAATAAACAACAACCCGAGCCCATAATCATCTGGGGTGGCTGAGCACACCAGCCAGCCGGAGTGGTGTCTACACACTGCTTGCTATATGTTGTGCATTTTTAAAGTAACAGGAGCAGACTGGTGGCTGGGCCTGAGGATGCATGTTAGGAATCTCAGCGCTTGGGAAGCTAAGGCAGAAGAATTACCATGAGTTTGAAGCCAGCCTGGGCTGTATAGGCCAGGCAGGGCTACAGAGCAAGAGCCTGTCTCAACTCGCCAGAAAGCACACAGTCAGAATACAACAGCTAGGATTGAAGCTGAGCGATAAGAGCACAGAGGCCCTGGGTTCCAGTCCCAACACAAGAAAGTAAAATGACACTGGGGAGATAATTCAGTCAGGAAAGAGATTGTCATATACCCGTTCCCAAGTGCCCAAGTAAAAAGCCAGGCGTGTGGCACTGAGGACATAGAGACAGGCAGATCCTTGGGACTTGGTGGCCCTGTGCCCTAATAGTGAGAGACCCTGTTTCAAAACAAAGTAAACTCCTGAGAAACAGTAGCCAGGGTTGACCTCTGCCTCCACTCACACATTTACACACATGGTCACATGCACACACACGCGCGCACACACACACACACACACACACACACACACACACACACACACACAAGCAATGTCATTTTTCATTGTTTCCCAGTACTTTAAATTATTTTCTTCATTAAACTCACTTGAGTTTAAAATCATGAATACTTGCTAATACTTTTTTCAGTTTGGCCATACCTGGCTAAAACTTGAAGCAGGTGGGATCTTTTCACATGTATGACGCATGTGAACACCAACGCTGTCCATGCAGCTAACTAGCACGAACTTGAAGCAACCACACAGCCGCAATCTGCCTTGCGTCAGAGTTGTTTTATAACTGGAGACAGAGCATGTCACCACTTCTCCCATGATTGTGTTCTGAGAGTGGGGAGCTGTCAGGTTTAAATAATTGTTTATAAACCGCACTGAGATCTTGACCTGTCCAGTGCTGCCAGCTGAGAAGGCATTGGTCATTTGTATTTGATTGGCAGTGGGACACTGTGTTCCACGCCTTGCTGCAGAGCTGGGGAGAGGAAGGTGATGGGTGGGCCTAACACCTGTCAATTTGGGCCTCACCCTCTGAGGTCACTGGGAATCAGTGAGGATGCTCATTGTTTGGAAGGATCAGATCTTCAAAATGAGATGGAAGAAAGGCCTCTCAAATAAGGTAACATAATGAGGAAAACATTACACATAGCCAATGTGCTCACTGTCCAGGCAGCTCCTGTTGGAACTTTAACTGTTTCTCCATTGTTTCTCTTTCCCCCAGTGAATTTTTTTTTTTTTTTTATTTTACTTCCAAACAAGCCTGTCGTTCCAGCTATGGGAGAGGCTGAGCTGGGAAGAGCTCTCAATCTCAGAAATCATGAAACCAGCCTGGACAAGACATGTAAAGGTGTCTCAGGCAATGAACAGATCCATAAATAAGATTTCCTTTTTCTTTCTTTTTAAGAGATTTTTTAATGTATTTACTTTGTATGTATGGTATGCACACGTCTACCATGGTACATGTTTGTAGGTCAGAGGACAACTTGCAATAATCAGTTTTCTCCTTCCACCGTGTGGGTCCCAGGTATCAAAGTCGGGGCATCGGCTTGGCAGCAAGTGCCTTTACTTGCTGAGCCATCCTGCTACCCAGCAGAATTTCCCTTTTCTTTCCGGAGCCAGTGCTTGTTTACAGGGGTGTTGTTTGTTTATTTTATTAGAGACAGAATGTTGCTTATATGGTCCAGGCTGGCCTCTGCTTACAAACCTCCTTCAGCCTGCCAATGCTGGGATCACAGGCGTGCGCCACCACACCCAGCCTCAGTGCCTGACGAGGAGCTTGGCAATAGGCTTTTTACACATCTGCAGGTAGGGGCTGAAGAGCTGGCTCAGCACTTAAGAGAACTTGTTCTTGCAGAGAACCCAGGTTTGCTGCTACAAAAATAAGTGATTTGGGGGGCTGGAGACATGGCCCAGTGGTTAAGAGCAGTGTCTGCTCTTCCAGAGGTCCTGAGTTGAATTTCCAGCACCCACATGGTGGCTCACAGCCCTCTATACCCTCTACTGCCCTCTTAGAGCACTAATATGCATAAATAGATAGATAGATAGATAGATAGATAGATAGATAGATAGATAGATAGATAGATAGATAAGGTCTTAAAAAATAGTGATTTTATAGGCCAGAGACATCAAGGTCTTAGGGCTGCTAAGCCCCTCTGAATGAGCCTTCAGGCTGTGTTTGGTTTAAGAGAGTTTGAACAGATTGCCCTGTTTGGCTGTGAGAGGCCAGATCAGCAGGACTCCTCCAAAGCAGGCTCAGGAGTGAGTACCTGCCAGGAGCCCCAGCCCTCATGTGTATCCCAAAAGGCACTGTCAAGCCTTCCTGCCTTCCTGCCTTCCAGGGAGCTCCCCTGCTACTTCCAAGGGTGTACAAGCTCGAGCTCCATTTTATTTGTTTGTTGCGGGGGGGTTGTTTTCATTGTTATTGTTTTGTTTTGTTCTGTTTGAGACAGGGTTTTCTATGTAGCCCAGGTAGTTTCTATAGGAACTGGCTATAGAGGCCAGGCTTGTCTCCAGTTCGTAGAGTTCCTCCTGCTTCTGCCTCAAGAGTGCTGAGATTAAAGGTGTGTACCACCACACTCAGCTTCATTTTTGTTCTTAACAAGTGAAATATCCTGTCAGCCTTGAGGAGAAAACCTACAGTGTACTTGTGTGGGTTTTCAGTGTACTTGTGTGGGTTTTTTTTGGGGGGGAGGGGTATAGCTAGGTGTAGTGGGTCATCCCTGTCAGCACTGAGGAGGCTGAGGCAGGAAGATTGATAAAAGTTTTAAGGCCAACCTGGGCTACATTTTAAGTTCCAGGCCAGCCTGGACTACAAAGTAAGACCCAGTCTCAAGAAACCAATAAGTAACAATAAAATCCTAAACTCCTCCCAGTTAATTTGCAAAAGGGTTCGAAAGTTCTCTTCATTTGTTCTGGGTTTCACCACATTTCAGCCCAACCACTAAATCTCCCCAGTTCTCGAGATACTGATGCCTGGAAGTAAACATCCCTCCTCCCTGTTCTTCAGTCGCTGGCGGTAGTGTCACTCTATGGCAGTGGTCCTCAGCCTTCCTAATGCTTGTGACCCTTTCATACAGCTCTTTATGTTGTAGAGACCCTCAACCATAAAATTATCTTTGTTGCTACTTCATAACTATAATTTTGCTAGTGTTATAAATCATAATGTAAGTATCTGATATACAGGACAGCTTTCAGTAATCAGTTTTCTCCTTCCACCATGTGGGTCCCAGGTTTATCTGATATATGTCTGATATATGAAAAGATTGTTCAGGAGAGATAGCTCAGAGGTTAAGAGCACTGGCTGTTCTTCCAGAAGTCCTGAGTTCAATTCCCGGCAACCATATGGTGGCCCACAACCATCTATAATGAGATCTGGTATGCATGCATCCAGAACATTGGATATATAATAAATAAATAAATCTTAAAAAAAAAAAAAAAAAAAAAAGAAAGAAAAGATTGTTCAACCCCCAAGGGGTCGTAACCCACAGAGAACAACTGATCTCTGAGTTCAAGCATTCTCATTCCTCTGCCTAGTGATGTGGTGGGCATCCCTTAAAAGATGCCTGCTTAGGTGGAAGGCTGCTGGAAGCCTGAGGTGGGAACAGTAGGGAGAGGAGTGGAGCCTGCACTCCATGCCATTGGTGAGGTGACTTGCCAGTTTTCACTCTAAAGCAGCCTCTGTGTCACAGAACTGGTATGTCAGAAGAGGCCAATCCCTATGATACCAAGGGATGACCTAAGTTCATCATCCCCACAGCCCTTTCCCAGTACAGGCAACACTGTTGTCCTACAGGGATCTAAAGCTTGGTCCTGTCTTGTGTCTGTTTCAGATGCCGTGGCAGAACGTGGAACATGTTGGTGACCAGAGCCCTTATGTCACTTCTGTTATCCTTCACATTAAGCAGAACGTCCCCATCATCCGTGACAACCTGGCTTCCACACGGAAATACTTCACGCAGTTCTGCATTAAATTTGCAAAGTAAGTCCTGAGTTGTGCTTTCATGATGCACTTTCTGTTTTGATCTCCCAGGATAACCAAGCAGGGTGCATGGAAGTGCCCATGTACCCATCTGCTCATGACCATATCTCTCACGTGCCACACTGATGGGGTACAAGCCTGTGGTTGGCTCCGCATCACTCTCCAGGCCTACCTCTGAGCTGGGAGAGACTTGATGGTTCTAATATCATTCTCAGTAGAGTGACTTTACTGCTGTTCTTAGCCACCCAGCATGCTCATAATCCAGATGTCCCATCTTCTAGCAGGGCTTGTTCTGGGACCTCCAGGAAAACTGATACTCTTCCATACCCCAAAGGGCCATAGTGGAAAAAGAAAATGGGCCACTTACAACAGCAGTCTTCAGCTGTCGCAGAGCAAACAAATGAATAGGGGGATTTTAATCTTCTGGTTTTATGCATGAAATCACTCCTTGCCCAGGCTTTAATTTTTCAGTTAATTTGTGTGTGTGTGTTTTGTCTGGATTATAAACAGCTCAAGGCTTGGACCCATCCATTGTGCCTTTGAGTCTTTGCTTCCTCTCTCTCCACCATTGTTCTTGTGGGTGTCCTTATGTCCAGGGAAAGAACTAGAAATCAGGACCAGCAGCTTGCTGAGCTGCAGTGCTGAGGTAGATGGAGCCAGCGCTGAGTTGCCTGCCTTCCTGTCATGTCCCTGTGTGTGGCCATTTCTGCCTTGAATTTTGAAGCAAGGAAGTAGTTTGGTTCCTTGCCAGTCAGCATCTGGCTCCAGCACTGTTTCCCGAGAGGCCAGGCAGTGATGAGGGCCAGTGTCTCCTCTGACCAATTATCAGATGCACAGTTTGGCAAGTTACTCCGGGAAGGTCAGTGCTGTCCAAGCTACTGTATTTGGATTGTTCTCATCCAGGTCCCAACTGGTGACTCAGGATTCTGAGTTTCTCTTTTCCCCCAGATCTCTCCCAGTTTGTATTCAATTAGATTTTCCCCATCTGACATAAATAAACCCCCAAGGAACAACAGTGACATAATAGCTGTAGCGTTAACTTTAGTTTCAACCTCATCAGGAAGGCTTGGACCGACTCCCCAGGGAGTGTTTATGTTTGCAGGCCGCAGATGGACCAGGAGCTGACATTCCCTTCCCTCTCTGGATGCTCATTAATGTGCACTAAAAGCACTGCTGATAAATCACTGGTGACATTCCCTGCAACCACTGCTACAAGTGTCTCTGTAAAAATTTACTGTGACTCAAAATCTCCGTTGTGGGCACCCAGGGGTCCCATTGAGCTCAGGTCGACGTGAACAAGGAGCCTATTGCCCAGCCCATCCAAGTGTCAACTCTACATTCTATCCTCACCTTTTAATGTTCAGAGTAAGCCCATTCTCAGTGATCTGGGAATAGGGTGCCCATCCCCCACAGCTGGAAAAGTTTAACTGAAGACCTTGCTTTAAGTCTTGGTACCCTCCCCTCTTTATAAAATCTGAGCCCAGAGCAGTAGCCACCACTTCCGTCCTGGTGACCCATGGCAGTGACACATTGCTTTGCTGGGATTTCTTCACCAAATGCATGTGTCTGAATTGTTCCCATATTTCCCCAGCCTGCCCAGCATGGACTAGTCAAGGCAAGATCAAGGGCTCAGCCACAGCACACTTTGCTCTGAAGTGGCCTCCATTACAGAGTGTGTGTCTGCAGGTACGATGAGTCCCCAGTTCAGCCTCACTTTACTTGTTTGCTCAGGCTAAGTCCCAGACAGCCTCTCGTTCACACTCCCTCTAGATGGCCAGGCCCAGCCCTGGATCTGACCTCTGGCTTTCATGTCCTATTCCCGCTGCATCCTTCCTTGCCCCACAGTTGCTAGTCCATCGATGGCTGCACTCCCTCCAATAGTTGCATTCCTACTACCTTGCCAAGGTCACTCCTGGTTGAGTCTAGTTTAGATCACTAAGCTAGTATACCTCTGTGAAATTGTTCCAGAAGTCTTCAGCTCTCAGAGTGATTACAGTGTGCGGGAAAAGATGTGGTGAAATTGAAGGAGGCTAGGGGGGACAGGCCTACACGCAGCATGGAAAAGGGAGAAGACAGGTAGCAGCCACCTCTGTAGACACCCTACCCTTTCCATGCTTCTTCCACGGTCCTCGTACTTGGGGACCTCTTTGTCAGCTCACTCTGGATCCTGTCTAGTTATGTGCATGTCTACTTTGCACAGCCTTTGAGCCATGTTAGCACAATGCATCCTTCTTGACTCGGGCCTTGAAGCTTATTCTAAAACCTCTTCTGACTTGTTGGATTTTCACTGTCCTTTACCCACACAGCATTATCAGCCCTGCTGATCTAGGTTGTCCTTCAGTGCTCAGCATATTTTCAGAAAATCATGTGATTTTTGTTTCTCGGTAAGAGAATTACTGCCTTAGTGATTATTTCTTGGTTTTGCTTTAAGATACCTTAACTGCCCACATAGCTCCATCTCTTGGCACTATTAGGATATTTTCAGCTACTGGTACTCAAATGAACTTGAATAGCTAGGTGGATTTTTGTTGTATTGTTGTTTTGTTTTTTGAGACAGCATTGCACTTTGTAACTCTGGATATCCTGGAACTTGTTATGTAGACCAGGCTGACCTTGAACTCCTGAGTGCTAGGGCTAGTGCCACCACATCTGGAACAAGATGGATTTTTAAAATCTCATACAATGTCAAGTCTAGAGGAAGTTAGGACAGACTTGAGAGTGGTTGGTTTAGGCTGGAGAAATGGCTTAGTAGTTAACAGCATGGGCTGTTCCTGCAGAGGTGCCCAGTTCAGTTCTCAGCACTCACATGAAACAACTCATAAGAGCCTATAACTTCAACTCCAAGGGATTCAATGCCATCTTCTAGCCTCCATAGGCTACACACACACACAGAAAGAGAGACAGAGAGAATGTGATTGATTTAGGGTTGCAGTGGTTTCATTAAGACATGGGATAGCCTGCTATCTTTGAAACTGGCCACATCCTCAAAATGGTGGGAGGATGAAAGCATGGGTGTTGTCTATAACTCAACAGTGCCCTAAGCAAGAAGAGGCAGTCTCACAGCTCTGCAACAAGGTCCTTCCCTCCAGAGGATTTCACTGGCATAAAGTAATTCCCCCTGGCCAGACCTGAAGCAGTCACCAGTGGAACTGGCTGAAGCCCAGGAGAACTGACTTCTGTAGGACTGGAGTGTGGCTCAGTGGTAGTGGCCTGGCATATACCAGAACCTGGGTTCTATCCCAACACCATAAACAAAAAGAAGTCACCTCTGTAGTTTAAGATGGGATAAGCTTTCCCCCAAAATCCCAAGACTATCCATCCCAAACAGAGCTGGAGCTAAAGTTGGAAGGAAAGAAAAGATGGGGAATGGCAGTGTAGGGGACACTAGTATCCACCTTGATTCTTGGTTTCCTCATGAAAGGGAGTAGAGCTTTTAGAAGTTTCTGCAGCTCGTTACTACGAAGAGAATAAACCTAACTTGTCACTGTTTATCCACAGCTCGTTCATTCCCAAATTCATCACCCATCTCTTCAAGTGCAAGCCAATCAGCATGGTGGGAGCAGAGCAGGTAAGGGGAACTTTGTCACTGATCCACCATACATTCTCAGGTAGATCCAGTGTGAAGAGACCGTGGCTGGTTTCCTTGGTGTAGGGAAGGACAGTCACCCGGCCACTCTTTTTGCTTCTTTGTTTTGTTTTTTAAGATGGTTCTCATATTGTAGCCCAGCCTGATCTCAGAGCAATTAGATTATCACAGCCCAAGTCTGATGTACAGAAAGTACAGAGCAAGGTCGGGGAAACTGTCTTAGGGACTTGAGGAGTGAAGGCCTCAGCTTTCTGTGAGGGCTGATGTTGGAGGGACAGGAGGCTGTGTTCTGAGTATAACAGAGGCTCTCAGTGTGGCTAGTCCAAGAACACCTGAGAGAGCAAGTAGCGAGAGCCGGAGCTCACCTCCCCAGTAAGTCCTTGAATGGGCTCCTCTCCTCATCTGAATTCTCGGCTGGAGCATGATGGCACATGCCTGTAATCCCAGCACACAGGAGGCTAAGACATAGGATTTTGACAGTAGGATTCAAGGCCAACATACAGTATATAGTGAGACCCCATCCTAAGGAAACAAAAAGACTTAGGTCATTTCACCTGAACCCTGATGAGTTATGTACTATAACAAAGTCATTTCTCTTTGTCTCCCACCTAGTCAGACTCTCTGGGATTTGGGCAGTTTGAACTCAGGGAACACTTTGAGTGATTTTGAAAATAAAAACAGAGGTTAGAAAGATCACTCTGATAAGCACTAACCAAAAGCAACTTGAGTAAGGAAGGGTTTATTTGGCTTACAGGTCACAGCTCATCATCAAGGGAAGCTAAGGCAGGAATTCAAGGCAGGAACTGAAACAGAGGCCATGGAGAAAGCTGTTTGCTGGCTTCTCTCTATGGCTTGCTTGCTCAGCTTGATCTCTTTCTTATAGAACTCAGGACCACCAGTCTAGGAATGACACCACCCACAATGGTCTGGGCCCTCCCACACCAATCAATAATCAAGAAAATTCCCCACAGACATGCCCATAGGCCGGTCTGATGGAGACAGTTCCTCAGTTGAGATTAGCCTCATCCCAGGTAACTCTAGTTTGTGTCAAGTTAACAAAAGCTAGTCGGATCAAGGGTGTGAATCTGAATTTGCACCCTTTAAAAATTACCCACATAAAAATCCAAGAATAAGGACTAGAGGGATGGCTTAGTAGTTAAGATCACTTCCTACTCTTGCAGAAAACCTAGATTCTGGTTCTAAAACCCACACTAGACAGTTCACAGCCATCCGTAACTCCCTTCCAGGGGGATCCGAAGCCCTCTTCTGTCCTTCACAGGAACTGCACACACATGGCATGCAAACAGACAAGCAGGCACACAACCATCCACATAAATAAAAGCAAATTTACAAAACAAACGAGGGTGGTAGTGTGTACCTCTAACCCCAGCAATGTGGAGGTGGAAACAAGAGGATCTGGTTCTGGCCAGTCAGTGTCGCTAAATCAACAAGACCCTATCTCAGGAACAAAGGTGGAGAGAATTGAGGAAGACACCCAGTGTCCACCTCAGCCTCCTCACACACATGCACACGCACACACATACAGAAAGGAACAAAAAATTCTTTCACTCCCTGAAAATATCACTTAAGGTGTAAACTGTCAAATCAAGAGCAATTCACAGTCATTAAAATGGTCTTCCCTAGACCTCTATCTGTGAACATTTAGACAACATGTAAGATTATATAATTCATTTCCATAGATCCTGTTCTGTACCAAATGAGGCAATGCAGTAGAGGCTCAACTCTCTCCCAGCTCAGTGCCTTGTCCTGGTAACTCCTGGGCTGTGTTGACACACACCCCTGCCCTGCCCCAACTCAATAAGATTGTTAGTTGGCACGTACTGGAGTTCCTTGCAGTCACTCATGAAGTGTCAAAGGCGGACAGGAACATCTGTGAACAGCAAGGCCTCTTAATCTAAGTGCAGTGTGATTTTGTCCTCTCTGTGAGCACTCAGGTCATGAGCTCTGGGACGACATGAGCCGAGCTTGGGGTCTGTGCCCACAACATTGCATCTGTTTGTCCATAGACAAGTTATTTTGCAGGACCTCCATTTCCTTGTCTCTGAAATAGGAGTGCTTGGTGCCACTTCATAAGTCTCTGTGAGGATGAAACAAAACAGCCATGCATGGTGGCGTACTCCAGTAACCCCAGCACTTGGGGAAGCTGAAATAGAGTTGTAAGTTTGAGGCCAGCATGGGCTACATGGCTAGATCTCACGTCAAAATAAAATAAAACAAAAATAGTAAAAATCAAAGCCAGTGCCCATAAATAAGACACATGTCTGGCACACAGCCAGCCCTCATTAGCCCCAGCTCCTGCTCACTGTAAGCTTCTCAAGACCTGGGCATGACCTTGTTTCTGTTTCATTGCTCATCCTTCCTAACACCTCTTCTACATGCAGCCTGCATAAAAACTTCTAGTCAGTGCTTGTCCTCCGCCGTCTGCCTGACCGGCTCTAGCCAGAGTGAAAAATGTTGTCTTGGAAAGCTCCCTGAGAGGCTGTGGGACTTAGACAGCAGCTGGGCCTGACTGCAGCAGTCAGTGTTCTGAAACCCTGACCCGGCATGCCGGGGCGCAGCAGTTGCTCTCTCCGTCGGAAGCGGCAGAGTGGCGCCCACACGCCGGCCCCAGTTCACTAGTGCATGTTGGCCAGGCACTTACCCTGCTCACCTCATTGCCGTGTGCCGCCTGAGGGCATGCAGTGACGGAGGTCTGTGTGGGGTGGCCCTAGAGTTCTCAGTTACATTTCCGTCTTCAGACTTGACCAGGCCCTGGGGTCCAAAGCTGACTCATGGGGACATCTGTGTTTGTAGCTTTGCTCGGGTCTCTTAAGACTGGTGTGGTGTCTAACAGCCATGAGAGGTTGGATGTTGTCACATAAGTCCTAGCTCAGGAATGTTTGCCTCTTTTATACACAGGGTTAGTCAGTGGAGGGTGGGGGCACACCTGCCACCCCAGCACACTCAGGAAGCAGAGGATTGTAAATTCAAGGCCACTGTGGGCTATGTAGTATGACTCTGTCTCAAATAACAGAACAGAATATGAGCAGAGTCCAGTCAGACCCCAGGGTGATGTCTCAGGAACAGGATCTGTTTGGCCAGTGTTCACTGCTTTTAGATGACAGTGAAAAGCCCATCTTCTACAACTAACTTTCATTTCTTAGACCCCATGCAAAGACCATGAGTAATAAGAGGTGGCTCTCCATAGACCCAGCCTGTAAAGGCTTCCAGGAGGAATGAAGGGCAGTGGGGCCCTTGAATGGTCCCCATGTGGAGTTCAGGTTTATCTGCGTAAGGTTGGCCCTGGCATCTGGACTCTGAAATCCAAGCCATGATGTAGTTAGAGGCCTGTTCACTTAGGCAACAGGGTTCAAGGAATTAAAGAGTTATCAGAGGAGCTAGAGAGATGGCCCAGCAGGTAAGAGCAGTTGCTGCTCTTATAGAGGATTCAGGTCCAAGTTCAGTTCATAACCCACAGTATTTCCAGCTCCATGAATCTAACGAGCTCTTCTGGTCTCCATGGGCAGACAAAAGCATTCTCTCTCTCTTTCACTCCATCTCCTTACCTCCTTCTTCCTTTCTCTCTCCCCCTTCCTCCCTCGCTCTCTCACACACACAAATAAATAGTATGATAAATCAATTTTAAAATGAGAGTTAATAGAGTTAGTAGAGAGTGGGTAGAAACATTCTGACACACTCTGCTTGGCGTCATGGTGCTAACCCAAGCTCTGACTAGAGCTGTAGAATTGAAAGCGACGCTGTGCTCATCTCAGCTGTGCCCCTTCTCGCCGGATGTGCTGGATGTGGAGTTGAGATTAGGCTTGAATACTGATGTGAAAAATAAAAGAGGAAGCCCTTTGCTGCTCCTTATTCTCATCGTGATTAGTACATACAGTGAGTTATTTCTCTTCAGGCCCCAGAGCCCTCATGAGCAATTGCAAGGGCACATGGAGTTGAACCATTCCTGAATTGTAACGCTCCTTGCTAGTCTGTGATTTTCAGAGGACCTTCTGGGATTTGCAGGGTCATTAATTAGTCTTGCAACTGAGGTCATCTATGACTGAACACACAGCAGAAATAAAATCCATTTGCCTAAACGTACTCTAGAGAAAACAGCACCGTGTGGTGTTGGGAAAAGACTCAGTCCACTCATCACTCTGCTGTTCACAGACAGTGCCTGTGTGCTCTGTGCTCTGTGTCCTACTCAAATAAGAGTACTGAAACAGCGCTCTCCAGAGCGCCTCCCAGACCATCACATTGCTCTACAACCTCAAACTGGCTGGCCTCAAACTCGCAGAAACCCGTCTGCTCCTGCCTCTGCCACCCAGGTGCTGAGCTTCGAAGTGTGCACTGCCATGCCTGACATGAGCGGGTATGAAAGTACAGACCGCACAGCCACCATGGTCTAGTGTGTGTCATCACAGCTGGAAGACGAGAGTGAGATGGTTATTCTCGGGCACTATCAGCCTTTAGATAGCAGGGTTCTTCATTAAAAGGAAAGGGGCTGGAGAGACTTATCAGTGGTTAAGAGCACTGTCTGCTCTTCCAGAGAACCCAGGTTCAGTTCCCAGCACCGACACGGCACACACAACCATCTAAGACTCCAGATTCAGGGACTCAGATGGCTCCTCTTACCTCTTACACACACACACACACACACACACACACACACACACACACACACACGATAAATACTTCTTAAAGAGGCAAGGCATGGTGGTACAGACCTTTGATTCCAGCACTAGAGAGATAGGGGCACACAGAGCTCTGTGTATCTATGCATGCCTTGACTGCATAGTGAGTTCTGGACCAGCCAGAGATGTATAGTGAGACCCTATCCATATAACTAAATAAATAAACAAACAAACAAATAAATTATAAAAATGTATTGTTCGTTTAATAGTAAAATTTTAAACTTTGTCAAAGTAAAAATAGGATGATTGTTGAGTTGATAAAGATTTTTTAAAGTGATAATTCACGCA